GATACCAAAAAATCATAATGCTTAGTTCCTATAGCTATATCTTATAGTTAGTATGCCTCTATCACCATGATGTGACAGAAAGTAACACAATGGTGTTAGATTGCAAAAGCAAATGCCCCCCCCCTCTAAATCCGCCAGTGATAGGATAACATGTGATTCGTCTTCAGTACAACTTTGAACTCGCTCGAGTCATTTTGTTCTCTGTAACGATTTTTTTTTTGGGAGACAGTTTTTCCTATTGCTTTGTGGAAACTGATGGCATCAGTTTCGTGCAATGGTGTGCTATCAGGTTTTGCTTCAGACTTGGGCACAGTGCAACGGAAATCCTCGCTACACTTCAGTAGGCCTACGGAGATAGTAAGAAAGTATAGAGTTACCCTATGAAATTTTGTGACGAAAACATTTTTGGCGAAGGCTCTGGATGTTTAACGCCTTCAGCATAGTTGAAAGCATCACTGGATTTATGACTTGATACGTTTCAAGACTCGTTCTCAAGAGACTATCGTATTTTTTTACTAATAAGAAAGTCAGTGGAGATTAACAACACTTATTTTTTATATCCAAATATCAAGGAATCCAGACCTTTAAAATGAGTGAATCAATGGGATGATAAAATCATGTGCGCTTCTACGTCACTTATTTTCAATCTGTTTTAACATTAGCTGTCAGCTTTCAGTTTCCGCCTGGAAGCTTTGAAAACTGATCAAACTGCGAAAAAAACTGCAACCTGGTACTTGAACAAAAAATTGATGCTGACTAATGACCTTCTTAGCCATTGTTCACCACTTCAAGATGGCATTCTGTTTGAAAAAATAAATTGCTCCAAACATATTAATTACCCATTCTTGAAGAATGAATAAAAAATCTTATATTCGCTTGCATTCTGGTATAAAAAGTCGAATTATTCAGTGTGTATGAATGACTGTAAAAAATTGGTATGAGTTCTGGCCTTGTTAGTTTCACCTTCATCAGTGTTAATGGCAGCAATATTTGTGTATAATACCTATAACTTCAGCAGGTAGTAACCGGATCATCTGAATGTGACATCTCTACTTGAATGTGTATGATTGATGGTGTATTAATAGCCGTATTCAATTGCTATGAGGTGTGAAATCGTGCATTGGCCATGATTTTTATTCCGATCTCTGTAACGTAGGTACATGGGCGCCTCTTAAACGAACTTTCGACAAAACTAAGAAACACTTCAGGTTGTGGGGCTGTTTTGGTACCGTATGCCATTCATGCATAAATTTCTATAGTTAGTAAAGCTAAGGAAAGTACACCCTTTTCACGCCCTCAGTTGTTAGCGATAGCTTTGGAATCTGATTCATACTTCTAATTTATATAAGCAGGAATATTTTATGGAAAACAGCAAATTTGAGAATGAAAGCGTGTTAAAAGATATTGCGGAAATAAGGCAAAACACTAAAAGAGCTTTACCAATGGTCACGAGAACAAATAACTACTCGATGAATCACTGTCTTTGACGTTACTAGATATTAGTGTATACAGGGTGGCGCATCGAAAACGAAACAGACGCATTTACTGGCAGCTCAGTTTTTTTTTCGGAAAAACGCTCAGACCCGTCGATTTTGTTGTCGAGGGGGACACAAGTTTGGCAAAAAATCACGTTAACACGTGCAGCCCCCTGCGCGGGGGTGACACCAACGCTAAAATCTTGAATGGAAAGGGGGGTCGAGTGATACCTTATTTTGAAGGACTTTCAATTCCCTTTGTAATGATGTAGAATACATGGGCTTCAGTTCAGTAGTTTCGAAGATTTATTGATTTAAAGCTTAAAGTAGACTTTAATAGGTACATCAGATTAGTTTGTACTACTTTCAGAAGAAATTTGACTGAAAGAATTTACTCAATAAGTAAATGCTTTTCTTCACTACGCAAATGGTTTGTTTATCATTTTGTTGTTGAAAATAGCTATCGGAGCGTTTTTTTGTGGCAAAAAAGTTATTTCTTGAAGAAAGATAAGGAAATATCTCGTACTTATTTTAAATAGGAATTTAGTACATAGTTTGCGATTGATTTGACCAAACTTTGTTGCTAAAATAACTTGTAACGCTTTATTACATAAATTAACCATGGCATATTCCACAGCAGAAAGAGTTGAAATTATCGAAATATTTTTCGGAAATAATCAGTTCGCTAATAGAACAGCAGAAATATTTAATGAACGATATGAAAACAGTAACGTGCATCGAAAATATGTTCTAGTGCTTGTAGCTAAATTTCGGGAAACTGGGTCAGTCGCCAATAAAAAACGCAACATTGAAAATCCCATAAGGAACGAAGCAATAGAAGTGGGGGTTTTAGGGCAAGTTTATGTAGATCCTACGTTAAGTACCCGCAAATTGGAGTCTGTGTGTGGTGTTAGACGACGTACTGTCCAACGGATTCTAAAGGCCCATAGTTTTCATCCGTATAAAATTCACCTGGTACAAGAACCTAATGAAGACGATTTTGATCGGCGATTACAATTTTGTGAAGATATGAGTGAACGAATTATATACGATGAACATTTTCTATTCAACACTTGCTTAGTAATGGCGTAGTAAATCGTCATAACTGCCGATATTGGTCCGATTCTAATCCCAGAATTCAAAATCAGGTTCATACACAGCAGCCACAAAAATTAAATGTTTGGGCTGGTATTTTTGGCGATCATTTAGTTGGTCCATTTTTCTTACCTGGAAATTTGACCGGTGAAACGTATTTGGAATTACTGGAAGACCCCATAGATCCTGCATTAACAGCCATAATTGAAAATCTGAATGATCGGCGGTACATTGCGAATAGGTTGATGTTCCAACAGGATGGTGCCTCACCACATTACGCATTACGTGTTCGACAATATTTAGATCAGACGGTTCCAGATCGATGGATTGGTAGAAGAATGCCCCCCAAGATCGCCAGATTTATCACCTTTGGATTTCTTTATGTGGGGTCATTTAAAAAGCAAAATCTATGCTACTCAGCCAATATCATTAGAAGACCTGCGACAAAGAATTGTGAATGAGTGCCTTTAAATTACTCCTCAAATATTGCAAAATGTGCGGCAACGTTTTGAGCAAAATCTTTATTATTGCATGAAGAGTCATGGTGGCCATTTTCAACATTTACTTGCCTAACAGGTCAGTTCATTCTTCGTTTTTAAATTACTTTGCTGCCAAATGTATTGATCTCCACTAATGATGATGTATTAGTTTTATTTAAGCTTTAAATCAATAAATCTTCAAAACTACTGAACTGAAGTACATTAATTTTATATCATTATAAAGGGAATTGAAAGACCTTTAAAATAAGGCATCACTCGACCCCCCTTTCCATTTAAGATTTTGGGGGTGGTGTCACCCCCGCGTAGGAGGCTGCACGTGCTAACGTGATTTTTTGCCAAACTTGTGTCCCCCTCGAAAACAAAATCGACGGGTTTAAGCGTTTTAAAAAAAAAAACTGAGCTGCCAGTAAATGCGTCTGTTTCGTTTTCGATGCGCCACCCTATATGTCCTTATAAAGATGAATTTTTGCGTGTTTGACAATGCCAGCGTTTGAAGGCGCGTCCCTTCAATTACAATAAACCTTTGAAGGACTGAAACAATTCTAAACATCAAAAACCACCATTAGAGTTTGACAAAGACTTAAAAGCCTCCAGGGGTAATGGTAACGCAATGGTAGAAATATTTTTTGCTGATCCTAGAAGTAGGTTCCCCGAGACGAGAATATTTGAAGTTTGAAAAGAACATACAATAGATAAAATGGTGTCATTTCAAACTCATTTCAGCAATGACATGCTTTGATTCTAGACTAGTAAATCCAATCACGATTCTAATGAATTGTTAATCTGTAGTTCAAAATTCCAAAGACTTTTTTTATTTCATATTACCTCTACCACAAATTAAGAATTACGTGACTTTTAAATACCCTTGGGTGACATAGCAGTGCCGCCTATGGCCGTGTAAATTGTTTTAGTATGTTCAATGTTGTGATAGCCGTGAAGATTTTGGTGAATAATGATTATTACAATTAATAAATCATTATTTTTAGCTACTAGATTTAATTGGCGGGGATGCCTATGTGATAAATATCTTCCGATGTTCCGGTGGTATAAGCAATTAATCAGTGTGCTTATGTCGGTAGGCGAAACTGACTCTTAACCGATTAAAAATTGCGAGTTTCTATCGATCTCACTTGGACCTTTAAAGTTGTTATTTATAGGTATTATCTACAGAAGCCTTGTAAATTCTCCTTATCCTATATCATCATTCGTGAAGTGATACTCATCAGGGTCATCGTAATCAATCGGCGCTTTATATAGATGTATCAGAATTTAGTATCGATAGAGATGTTAAATTTTTTGCAAGGTTTAGTGTTTTGATAATTGTTATTCGTTAACATGTATATTTAACCATAACTAATCGATGGTAATAAAGCATTGTTATTAAATCTTTGTTTCGCTTGTAGCTTCTATAGGTTTACAGAAGCGTCTGCTGTTCCATTATAATTTTTGAGTAAGAACTCTTGTGCCATAGAGCTTTACTGCCTGCACATTTTTTATTTGCCTACCAGATTTCATAAGGCCGGTGAGTCGAAGTGATTCGCACATGATGGTGAATTATTGGAGTAACTTGATGTACGAGCTCACACATTACATGTTCATGAGCATTTATAAGCAACAATCGTCATATATATTCCACTAGATTTGATTGAAATTTCTTCGCGTTAGCTAAGGGAATGTTCTAATAGATTCTATTGAAGGTTTAGATATTTCGAGAGAATCAGTATAATTAAGCATAAAACAAGCGCCTACCAGAAAAAATCATTGGTTAGAGTCCATAGGCCAGTCTGTGTATTTATAACAGAGAGCATAGAATCGAATTTTTTGACTACTAACTTTAAAATTTCTACTACGTGAACGTATCTTATTTGATAGTACCTAACCGCTATCTAATCTTATTGCTGCTGCTAGAAAAATATCATTATTTACTTACCACTCTGACACCATCATCTTCTGTTCTCATTAGAATTGCGGCTTGGTTTTCTTCATCTTGGTACAGTTCACCGATGTCATCATTTGTCTGTAACAAAGAATTATATTTTGTAGTGCAACCTGTTTCTTAGACTGCAATTATAATCTCTTATTAATTCTAACATGTACGCATTATTGCAGTATCAGTAGTGTCTTATTGAGCTAGGTATCGCATAGCTAGGAGACGCTATTCTGCGGTACTTGAACAAAAGACAGCAAAAGTAAAAAATTGCATTCAAAATTCTGAATTTTTTTCGAACTGAATAAGTAGCGTGATTACGACATAGCAAAAATGAATAAATAGTGCAACGTTACATGAAATTATAGGGAGTCATTTAAATGTGACGTGAATAAATGGGATTTCGTCTTTAATTGTCGTAAATCTTTATACTATTTTTTCAATGGAAGAACACAATAATTCAGCGTTTTTTTTAATACAGCTTATTCATATATAAATTCACAAAAGTGAATCCCATCTGATAAATCAATTTAATAATTATATAATTACATTTAATAATCACGTTCAAGAAAAGAAATTATTTAAATAAACTAAAAGAAGAGTTTTCTTATATGTTAAGACAAACGAAGAACATTTTCCGAAATTATTTAGGAGCAAGTAATTATTCATAGCGATAATTACTAAAATTATTACAGAAAAAAACTAACTAAACATCATAATAGCTTATAAAGGGTAAAAGGGCAGTACTTGTATCATACAGCGAATAAGCGCAGTATAGTTTGAAAACTACTGTTTTTTTACTTTCATTTATTGATTTACTGCTTTTATGCCTAGGAAATGTAATTAGTATATTTAATAATAATAATTAACGTCTTTTTTATTTGTAATAGTATTACAGGAGGCGAGATTTAGATAATATAATATATATAATATTCTACCATCTAACCCTTTTAAGAATAAGAGATGTATAAATAAACTGATAATTTGTTGAAAATTAATACCTGTATACAATAGGGACAAAATAAAGTATAATCAATGTAAAGACATAAGGAAAGCATGAGACCACTTACGGGTGAAGAAGTGACTGTAAATTAACGTTATCTATGATAAATTTTGTTAATGTTATCATGAAAGAAATATATTGGCGTAAACATTTTGTATCTTGACCGATACCTCTCATACAATGATGCAATTTAATCACATATAGAACAGAAATTGCATGGATCCCTGAAGTGTCCCCAAAAGATGGGACCGCCCCAATTTAATTTCTACGTACAACTACTTGTATTGTTCATATTATAAACTTCTCGGGGAACAAAATAGTCAACATATTTTAAAATCTATTTTATATTCTACAGGGAAAAATTATGGAAGATATTCCGGGCCACATGCAACATGATTTTTTCAGAGGTTGCTGTTCTGATTGCCTATTGAAGTCTCCTCAGAAACATACCGATGTGAGATTTCCATAACATTGTGGGTTGCCTAATGTGTTATAATCGTATGCATTGGTCCATAAATGTCTATTATGCAGTATATATCACGTTTTTCATTGTTTTAGACTTGTAGTGTAGTACTTTCATGTGTTATATGTATAAGTCCGGTCGAACGTATCTTGGTAGATATGTACTTCAGATTTCAATCAAACATTATTTGTTAATTTCGTGGTTTTAGGTATATTATTGAAAACAGTATGTCAATAAAGTGAAGAAACAGGTAATCAACATTTTTACTTTCATCACCGTCAATACTCGTACGCACGCCACTGTTAAAGCAAAAAATCATTTTTGCATTGAAAAATATGCAACTTTATGCACTTTCACTAAGTACTAAATATCAGTGAAATATCTCCCAACTAACAATTATCACTCCTATTAGAGTTGCAAGAATGATTGTATAGTATTCCTTAAACAGCATTGTATACTGTAAGAACATTGGAAAAACCCTCTTAGAACAGCTATACAAGCGGAATGGGCACACCTAATAGGACACTTCAGTCATTTAAGAGGTTGTATAGGGGTAACAGTTATACAACAAAAGTGTAAGCCTCTTGCAGCCGCTATAGGGCATTTGCGTCAGTGCAAGATTCAGTTTTTGTCAACTATACAACTATTCTGTTACGTGATTTTACTTTATTGCAACCAAACTATTTCTTATGTATTGTATAGACGAAGTGAAGAATATATAACTAACACATTACAGTCATCTTGTTTACTTACATATCGGCCATTGGGAATTTCATACACAGGTATATGATAAACTTCTACACTGTGATATAGGGCTATTGAATTACTTGCGCAGCAAATTTTATTGTGATTATAGTGCAAATTAGTTACGCAAGTTCTACGGGCTTTGTATTTGATTCATATTTTGGCAATGATCAAGAGTATGTCTAGATTTTTAAGATGGAAAACTGAACTTATCTGCGTTAAATCTTCCACAAATCCTATTTTTAGACACAATTACACTAATGTTTATCACTTTATATCTGTAATTTCGAACTGAAACATAATTATTTAATATTAAATAGAGGAATAAATGTTTGCCCAATATGGCGGGTGGTTGTGTATAAACATGGCATCGTCCATGTTGTCTTTAGGTTATTAGAATATTTTGGTGTTGCCTACAGGTATTATACAATAATTTGACAAATGTCTGAAATGAAATACCGACAGAGTCGAATGATTTAGCCAGAATTTGTACCAGATCTAGATCTTCTGTTTGAACAGTTGATAAAACCTTTTGAACCAATATGCATGCGTTGTTTGTCGTAAAACATTGGTTATGGCATTTTAACAAAAATATGACAGCAGAAAGTTAGGTTATGGTGAAATTGTATACGAACATATTTAGCATATGTACAGCCTTTAACAGTTACTAAACAAAAGTTGTATAAGTGCTTCCGTTGGGAGCAATTTGTTGGCTAAAGTCGTAAATTGCACAGCAAAACAACAAGGCTAGGGTTTGTTTTATAAACGTTACCATGGATGCCACAACACAACCATTTTGACTAACGTGCAAATATGCCGTATAAAATAGTTGTATAAACGTTTATGCAACAGTTAAAAATTTGCCCTATAAGGTGTTGTATAACTATGCTATAAGAATATTTTAAACACCTCATTTTATATCAAATATGTTGCAGAAAGCAAATTTGCATTCCACACAACATTAAGCCAGCATTTTGGTGTTCAGGCAACAACAATAGAGAGCTTTTATGGCTGAACGGTTCTTTTACCAAAAGCTTATACCACTACTTTGCTAGTTGGGCTGAAGCGGTTCTGAAAATATTAATTAATTTTCTTCAACACCCTTTTTGTAAGGAAACATTTTTGGATCATAGTCTATTAAGCAAACTAACATTAATTTTTCATGTAGATTCACGCCCTTAAATATTCGCATATCATTAAGAAACACCCTGTATGTTGAAAATGAACCATTTCACACCATGTTTATAAATGCAAGCGTATCATCTTAGTGTAGCCCAATGAATAACCTTTTTAAGGTTCTTGTCAATATTCTGTACATTTTTCTCTTCTAATCAGGTCATGTCTGTCATCATCAATTTCAGTTCGATTGATAAAATTCACATTTGCAGATATTTCATTGTCATATTAAGTAGAGATTATCTGTATAATTTGTGTTTCACAACATCTCATTTAATGTGATATCTTCAATATTTTATTGTCTTTTCAGTACCTACACAAGCACAGTTCATCTTTTTGATAAACCGTTACGCAATGCTAGACATCAGCAACTAACAGCATCAATGCTTTTTAATGATAGGTCACGAAAGCTATCTGTCGTAACTTCCGAGATCAATTTAACTTAATAGAAATCATCTTGCGATTCACTGGGAAAGTCAGTCACAAATGGCGGTCTCTTTTCCGTCGTGAAGAGATTTTTCTGCATTGAAAGATTGAAATGTTCGATACGACGCTGAAGTTGACCGTAATAGTACCTTTCATTCTCTCGTACATTCCCCCAATTATACAAAGCAGGTCCGTTAAGTAATTCAATTCTGGGTAATAATAATGGCACACGAATGATCGTGCGAACGTAATGGTTGCTATATAGATTTCATACTCTGGTAAATATATACAAAATGGATCAGTATTAAAAAAAATTATTTGAAGCAATTGTCCACCACGGATTGAACAATTTCATCAACGAACACTCAATCTTGTCACCAAACCAACATGGGTTCAGGCCTAGACTATCTACAAATACAGCGGCCTTCACACTTTTAAGTTCTATCGATGAGTCTGTAGATAGTGAGCGATATACCCTGGCTCTCTTCTTCGGCCTAAGTCGAGCCTTTGATTGTATTGATCATAACCTTCTCGTTGGAAAGCTCAGACATACGGGATTCAGGTCACGAGTAGATGAATGGAATGGAATGTATCGAACAGAAAAATAAAAGTAAGAGTGGATACTACTTCAGACACATTTGAAATAAACTTGGGGGTCCCTCAGGGATGTATATTACCACCTCTCTTCTTTCTGCTGTTTATAATTGATATGAGTGGGAGCTTGGTTAGTGAGGACATCAGAGTAGTACAGTACGCAGATGACAGAACTATCACTATAACCGGAAAGTCACCCGAACAACTCGAAGATAAAGCAAACATTATTTTACTAAAAGTTTCAGAATGGATTACGGAAAACAAGTTGACAGTAAATTCATCCAAAACAAAGTACGAGCCTCTTCCCACTTTAGTTGGCCCAACTATTGAAGTCTTAGTATTTCTCTTATCAAACACAAATAATAAAAATGCAGCAGGGTGTTATAGTTTTAAAATATTAACAATTAATATTTTGATAATATATAGTAGAAAACACCAACTGTTATCACTACCTAATCAAGTTTGCAGCATAAGAATAACACATTGTGCAATTACAGCATATACTAAGTGACATATAAATCCGAACACCCAGTTTAAATGGTTTTATTTTAATAAACGTTGGTGAATGTATTTATCTTACTGTAAATAACAAGTGAAAAAATTTTCAGCCTTATCAGTTGGACATTCCGGTTTTTATACTGCTTTCTTTTAATTCAATAACGCTCTAAAAATAAATATTTCCGC